TTTATTATGTCTGTACTGTATGTGTCCCATTGCTGTGTTTGGTCTTCATTACAGCAGAAAGAACAGCATACAGCAAGATTTACTTTCTTCTTTCAGTGTCTGTCAAGGTCTCCGTGTGTGGGAGCTGAAACCACATTTTATTCAGTGCTGTCCTATGTTCATGGTGCGTGCTCCAAACTCCTAAGCACATCTGAAGTTTGCATGTGAAATTGCTTTGGAGTACAAGGCCTAACCTGTGGCTGACTTTGGACCTACTTTTGAGGCACAATGACTCTAATGTGATGGCACTAAAAACACCAGTAGGGATCTTTACTAGCTGTGAAACACCAGACAACACCACCAGTTCCAGGAAACCAACACTAATGTCTACTAAGACTGATAGTTGCTACATAGGTATTGCAGTTTCTGATTTAATTTTCAGCTCCATATGCAGAGAACTTTCTAGAGAAACACATCACTTTAAGACTAGGTCTTTACTGACACTTTTTGTTTACATGTAAAAATTTGTTCGTTTTTTTTTTTTTTTGCTAGAATACTACTTTGAACCCTCAAAAATTATATAAATATTTTTAAGCAGAGGTCCTAGAGAATAAAATGGTGGGTTTTGCAGTTTGTTTTATGTCATACGGTATTTGTGCAGCAGTTTTTCAAACACAAATTGTTTGGGAAAAAAATACACTTTAATGAATTGTAATGCACACAAACACAATATAATACCCATTTTTGGTAAAATATAAAAGATGGTGGTATTCCAAGTAAATAAATACCCAACATGTTACGCTTTAAAATGGCGCATGCTCGTGGAATGGTGCCAAACTATGGTATTTAAAAATCTCCATAGGTGACACTTTAAAAGCCTTTGCAGGATACCAGTTTGGAGATACACAGGAAGTCTGGTGCTAGAATGATTGCTCTTGCTCTGACGTTTGCAGCAATACCTCACATGTGGGGTGCGATCACCATTTACGCATGTAATCACCAGTCTGTGAATTTGCCTATGCATGCGAGCACAGGAGGATGTTGGTGCTTTAAAAAAAAAAAATCATGTTATTATTTATGAAATTTTCCTATTTTTACACTGCCTCTATTTTTTTTATCCCTTTTATTGCTGTCACAAGGAATGTAAACATCCCTTCTGATAACAATAAGCAGTGACAGGTCCTCTTTATGGAGAGATCTGGGGTCTGTTAGGCCCTGCATGTATCCTCTGCCCTTAAAAGCATCTGATCACACCAAGATCTGTGTGATCAGATGCTTTCTAATTTTTGAAATGGCTCTGATTACATCTGGCGAAACCTAAAGTGTCAAAATACTGGTTGCGTCCGGTTTCCTATACCATAGAGATGATAGGAGACGATTTGGTCCACAATCATCTCTATGGTAAGCCGATGGAATGGGATGTAAGAGCCCAGAGAGGCACCAAAAGACGTTGGGGGGGACACCCACCTTTGCCACCTGTAAAAGTAAGCCAATGGCTAATTACACGAAAAGGCCATCACCCACAGATAAAAACAATACTGGGTGATGCCTGTAGCTGCTGGCATCATCTTGGTATACCACTTGAGCCTGCCGACATAAATGTACATTAGGCAGTCTTCAAGTGATAGGTTTCAACATGGTAGGCCTGCAGGGTCATATGCATACTGCTGTTTTAATACCACAGATTTTTTTTTTCAGTATGATATTGTTTGGTATGAATCCATACATTGCGGGAAAAATATTAAAGAAAAAGTCATGATTTTGAAAAATAAAATGCTTGCTTTATCAAAAAAAATTAAGTACAACACTAAAACATTTTAGAGTCTGTGTGAACAATCTTTGGGCTTGTGATGATGGCATCAGTTTCCGATACTTTTGAGATCATTTGCGGTGGGATGACAAATAAATTAGACCTGCAGCTGACCTCCTTGTGACTTGCATTTGTCCTGCTTCAAGTAAGCTTTGCATTCCTATAGACCTGTATGAAAATTCAAAATGCTTCTGATGCAAACAAAAGCCTGATGATACAGACCCTTAGAAACCCTTCTTGGTTTATGTATTTAACACAGTTTTGAAATATCACCGAGTGATGATTAAAGGCCAACTGAACTCTCAATTTAAATGAGCTAAATACATCCCATTCCCAAGTACATGCAAACAGAAGGTGTACAATGTCCTACAGTTCTTTTTTTTTCTAAAGGTGCTACAGCTTGAGTAGAAAGGCCTGTCCCCTGCCAATAGCTGCAGAATGGGACCCTTGCTATCTGTGGGGAAGCAGTAATCTCTCTGCAGAGGTCTAACACACCCTCTTTCTGCTGACTCAGAGGTAAAACTCAGTCAGCAGGGAGCATGTGTTTTGCTGATTGGAGAACTATAGGTCTAACTCAGTAGGTGCTGTGCAGAACCTCTGCAGAGAAGCCACTGTTCCCTATAGAGAACAAAGGTCCCACTCTGTAGCTCATGACAGAGGGCAGGCTGTTCTCCCAAGCTGTGGCTGTTTTGGTAAAAAAAAAAAAAAAAACTGTAGGACTTTAAACTTCTTCTGTTTTGATGTGCCTAGATAGATTGTTTTGGATAGAATGTGAAAGTGTTCAAATCCTTTTCAGATTCAGTGTCCCCACTAGGCAGATTCACCTTCTCTATTGGTCCTCGTAACCAGGGGTGGACTGACAACTCATGGGGCCCCCGGGCAATTGGGGATCATGGGGCCCCTGTGTCCTTGCCCAAACTCAAAAAAGCCTATGAAAAAGGTACCAGGGGCATCTCATGGGGCCCCCTACTGACCCCGGGCCCTCGGGCAATGCCGAGCTTCCAAATGGTCAGTCCGCCTCTGCTAGTAACCATAGTCTCTGGTATGGAAAGTGGTTGGAATTCCACATTTTTGAGTTGACAACAGTCTAAGAGGGGACATCCCCTCACTTTGAAGAGATCTTCTCTTACTTGTGTCTCCAGTACTGGAAGTGGAAGGACGCAAAGTTTGGCGATTTTTAGTAAACAGCATTAGGGACAATGCGTACCATCAATGAAGAGTGTCTGCTGGTGGCTGCTATGTTCACTAGAAATCCAAAGTCCTATGCCCCCGGAAATCCCCGCAGAAGTGATCTTCTGGAGCTGTGGGTTTAGGAGCAGCTGCACCTATGACAGGCATTCTTCAAGTGCCACCTATGCCCACACTTTATATTCCCATGCTCCATTCATAGAAGCCATACTAATGGTTTCCACAATGAAAAACAGTCTGTGAATGAAGGATGGGTGAGCTAATGAAAGGTCTGCCTACTCAAATCACTAAATTATCTCCACTGACAACGTAGTACTACCTGGACCTTGAAGAAGGGGACATACCCCGAAAGCTCGTCCTCAAAATTGTATGTTAGTGCAAATAAAAAAAGTATCCTGGACAGTACTCAATTGTCTGTGACAGCTCAAATACAGTCATTGGAAAAGACACACAAAAATCACCGGCAATAGTGCAAGCTGTAGAGTGAAGAGTACTTTAAGAACAAGTCAAGACCTTGCTACTATATAAAGTGAAAGTGAAAATGATAAATAAACATATATATTTAATGAATTCGTAAAATAATTAGTTAGGTTGCAGGCACATTCACTGCAAATGACCCAAAATCAAACCTCTGCATCTTAAACCATTACAGCGTAGGGTCTTAAGGAAAACTAAGTCAACTAAAATGGCCAATCCTTTCCAAGAATTTTACAGTTGGTTTTATAACCTTGTTAAATATAAGTCCAGCCAAACTACCAAACATAGAGATGTCTCAGTGGACCAGTAGCTCAAGGGTTCAGGCCTTCTGAAACTTCCCAACCAGGCATAAGATGCTATGAAAAAGCCCATATCTAAAGATGAATTTCTCCTAGTTCTCAAATCCATGCCTACAAGTAAGGTTCTTGGTTCTGTTGGGTTTACTAAATTATTCTATTAAACATTTCAACAACCGCTAGCTTCCTAGTTTTCTCGTACCTTTTGAGTTTGGTGAAGCTTGAGTTCATTGGGTTCTTGTGGGCAGATCAATCCTCTAAAATAAAAATTGTGGTCCTCAGTCTACACAAATACAGGGTAGGGTATTGGTTTTCCCCACCCATTGCAGTACCATCAATCTATACACCTTACTAGGATTATAAACTGGTGTAAAGATGCAGGGGTTAAGAGTTTGGTGACCCTTGAACAGGCCATATCAGTTCTTCCCCTTCAGGCACTGTTATTGCTCCCCACATCTTGCTACACAGCCATCAAAAGTCAACCCCTAATACGAACCACAATAAGTACAGTCCTAAAGATAAATGTATGTTCTTTCATTTCTTGAAATTTTCCCTGATGATGCCAGTAATCTGTAATCTGAATTTTCCCCCAGGTATAAATGACCCAGGTTTTTGTCCTTTGATCAATAGCAGTGTATTTAGACTATAGGACTACCTTTCTGGGGGGGTTTGAAGTCAGTGGCAGAAATACATATTATGGTTGAGCCACCGCTCCTACTTTGAAAGGCTATGCAAAACAAACATCTTCTTACCTCCCCATAGCACCAGATTTTGCAGTCTCTAGTTTTAGTAAATCAGTCCCTGTGTGTCCAATAAGATACAAAAGTGATCCAGTCCCATTCCAAGTGAGTATAATAGTGCTTTTATCGCCAAAATTCACACTGTATAATGAGAACCTCTTCATTCAGTGACATTCCAGTCTGCTCCCCTTTATAATGTGATCTCTAGGTGATTTGAGGTCAATAAAATATATTTGCCCTGTAGGGTGTTAAAGGTACGGTCAGATCTCCTCCCTTAATCTTCCAGAAACCGCAACTCAGCTTGCACCAGCATACGTACCAAACATGGAAGAGAAAAACTTCATGGTGCTCACTGGACATCTGTAGTGGCTCTAACAGCGTGATGACGTCATTGGACACGCGTGGACACCGATAATATTATTTTGTTATTTATAGGATGGTCGCAGTCTAATGTATTGTGAGTGAATCCTTTTTATTTTCTTTACAGGGTGATGTGCGGATTCATTAGGAATGCCTTATATGGATCGATTCCACCGAACCTGTGGGTTTCTGGACATTGAGGATGCACAGAGTGGCAGGTTTCTGCGGAGATATTTCATCCTGGACAAGCAGGCCAACTACCTGGTTTGGTACATGGATAACCCACAGGTATGTATGGTCTTATCAATGCTTTTTATAGACAAACCTCAATTTATTATAAATAATGCCAGCGATAAAAAGAAGATTTGGCTCGGTGTATAGATTGTGAAGTCTAGGATTCAGTCAGGTCACTGAAAACAATGCACTTGCATTAATATTGTATCTCAACAGTTAAAATGGTTGTATAGGCTGAAGGTTTCATACCTTCATGCATCCTCTGCATGAAGGTAAAAAACCTTCTGTGTGCTGCTCCCCCCTCCCCAGCCCCCCTAAATACTTACCTGAGCCCAATCTCGATCCAGTGCTGTGCAATAGAGCAGCAGCTCTTTCTGCTCTCTCCCTCCTCATAGGCTCAGAGACAGCAGCAGGAGCCACTGGTCAGTGTCATTGGTCAATGTCAGTGTCAGCAAGTTGCACTTAATAGTCAGCTTTGAAGTTGCACAAATTAGCTCGATTTCAAAGCTGCACTGGTGTGAACCAGGGCTTAGCCAGTAGGTTAAAATTATACAATTTGTGTATCTAACTTATTTTTGTGATACATTGTATGTATTTCTGAAACTATTTCTGGAAAAAAAAATCACTGAACAAGCAAAAGTATAGAATGTATTAGGGTGGAAATGTCCTGCACTTAAGGGCACTTTCACACCAAACACGGTGGAATGTTCGCTGCATTTTGGACTGCACTCCAACTGCATAGACAGTCTAAAACCCAGACTATCCTATGGGCATAGTTCACACCATTGCAGGGCAGTGCCGAAAAGTACAGCAAATGCACTAAAATGCATCACAGTGTACCAGGGGCGGACTGACAACTCATGGGGCCCCTGGGCAATAGGGGATCATGGGTCTCCTGCAGGGGCGGACTGACAACTCATTGGGCCCCGGGCAATAGGGGATCATGGGGCCCCTATGTCCTTGCACAAACTCAAAAAAGCCTATGAAAAAGGTACCAGGGGCATCTTATGGGGCCCCCTACTGACCCTGGGCCCTCAAAAGAGGATCATGGGGCCCCTGTGTCCTTGCCCAAACTCAAAAAAACCTATGAAAAAGGTACCAGGGGCATCTCATGGGGCCCCCTACTGACCCCGGCCCTTGGGCAGTGCCCGAGTTTCCAAATGGTCAGTCAGTGCCACCTTATCAGTGCAGCTTTATCAGTGCACATCAGTGTGGCCTCATCAGCGCCCTTCACTGCAGCCTGATCAGTGCCCATCAGTGCAGCCTCAACAGCGCCCATCAGTGCAGCCTCAACAGCGCCCATCAGTGCAGCCTGATCAGCACCCATCACTGCAGCCTCATCAGCGCCCATCACTGCAGCCTCACCAGCACCCATCAGTGCAGCCTGATCAGTCCCCATCACTGCAGCCTCACTAGAGCCTATCAGTGCAGCCTGATCAGTGCCCATCAGTGTAGCCTCATCAGCGCACATCAGTGAAGAAGAAAAATTACTCAGTTTGTTTAGCGACAAAAGAACGCAGTGGTGATTAAATACCAACAAAAGAAAGCTCTATCTGTCTAAAAAAAAGTGGTAAAAATTTCACATGGGTACAGTGATGGATGATCGCGCAGTTGTCTTTCAAAGTGTGAAAACGCTGAAAGCTGAAAATTGGCCTGGGCAGGAAGGGGTAAAAGTGCATTGATTTAATACATGTGGCTACATGATTGCAGAGAGTTTGCTGGAGGTGGGCTAATTTTATTTTTAAGCCTAGTGTTTCACTTTAATTTAGTCTCTTTAAACCACATTAAAATATAGGCCATAGTACCAGCTTGGCTACAGGATTTCCCAGGAAGTGAGGATGAGATGAGGAGCCCTATCCAGGAAGTGGTCAGCATCATCAAGATGTGGTCAGAGTGACTCAGTCCAGTGACCCCGCTGAGGATTTGGAAGCAGTGACACACACAATGTATAATAGAATAAAAATAAAGAGTGACTCTATCAGCGTGGCTCAGGGAACTGATTATACTCTTTAGCAAGTGAGGGTGAATCAAAAATTTTAAGTTGTCATCAGGAACAGGAGAGAAATCATTTAATGGGGACCCTTGACAACTATTAAAGGGAAGATTTCTTCACATTGAAAAGATACAGTATCCTATGACTTCCTGTTGTCTACAGGACAGGAAATAACATTTCTCTAATACAGATGGCAAAAAGGAAACCTGGCAGCCCCTACTCTACCCAAAAAAAGAAAAAAAAGTTATGACTTTAAATATACCTTACCTATCTCCGTACTGGACATTTTTGTAAAACAACTGCTGGGGGAGCTGTTTTTCATAGGGGACATTTTGAAATCCCTTCTGTTTACTGTTGGTTCGCACTCTAGGTGCAGGCACAATGTCTGTGATTCTGCTGTCATTGAAGATCATAGACTAAAGGCACAGAGCCATTCAGAACAGCTCTGTACTTTATCATTGCTGTGATGGCTAATGGGGCTGTGTAGTCAGGGTGCCCATGCTGACCCGTGTAGACAGCCAAAAATGCCTACAATGTATACGTTAGCATCAGAACTGGACCACAGAGCAATGGAAGAAGGTGGTTTGGTCTGATGAAGTGTGTTTTCTTTTACATCATGTGGATGGCCGGGTGCGTGTGAGCTCACTTACTTGGGGAAGAGATGGCACCAGGATGCACTATGGGAAGAAGGCAAACCGGTGGAGGCTGTGTGATGCTTTGGGCAATGTTGGGAAACTTTGGTTCTGCCATTCATGTGGATGGTACTTGACACCTACCTAAACATTGTTGGTGACCAAGTACACCCCTTCATGAGAAACGGTATTCCCTGATGGGGATTTGACCACTTTCAACAGGACAATGCTTCCTGACACACTGCAAAAATGGTTCAAGAATGGTTTGAGGAACACGAGTTTGGGGTGTTGACAAGGCTTCCAAATTCTCCAGATCTTAATCCAATCTAGCATCTAGGATGTGTTGAAAAAACAAATTTGATCCATGGAGGCCTCCCTCACCTCACAACTTATAGAACTTAAAGAACCTGCCACTGACAGCTTGGTGCCAGATACCACTGCATGCCTTTAGAGGTCTAGTGGCATCCATGCCTCAACAAGTCAGGGCTGATTTGGCAGCAAAAGGGGGACCTACTCAATATTAGCTAGGTGGTCATAAAGTTATGGCTGATCGGTGTGTATGCCATATAAATATACATTCTCCGGCCACTTTATTAGGTACACCTGTTCAATTGCTTGGTAACACAAATTGCTATTCAGACAATCACATGCCAGCAACTCAATACATTTAGGAATCTGGATGTGGTGAAAACAACTTTCAAACTGAGCATCAGAATGGGGAAGAAAGGGGATTTAAGAGACTTTGAACATGGCATGGTTGTTGGTGCCAGATGGGCTGGTCTGAGTAATTAAAAAAAACTGCTAATCTACTGGGATTTTCACGCACAACCATCTCCAGGGTTTACAGAGAATGGTCAGAAAAAGAAAAATATCCAGTGAGCAGCAGTTATGTGGACGAAAATGCCTTGTTGATGTCAGAGGTCAGAGGAGAATGGGCAGACTGGTTTAAGATGATAGAAAGGCACCAGTAACTCAAATACCCACTCTTTGCAACCAAGGTATGCAGGATACCATCTCTGAACTCACAACACTTCGAACCTTGAAGCAGATGGGCTACAGCAGCAGAAGACCACACCGGGTGCCACTCCCGTCAGCGAAGAACAGGAAACGGAGGCTACAATTCACACAGGCTCACCAAAATTGGTCAATAGAAGAGTGGAAAAATGTTGCCGGTCTGATGAGTCTCGGTTTCTGCTGCGACATTCAAATAGTAGGGACAGAATTTGGCATAAACAACTTGAAAGCATGGATCCATCCTGCCTTGTATAATTGGTTCAGGCTGGTGGTGTCATGGTGTGTGGGATATTTTCTCAGCACACTTTGGGCCCCTTAGTACCAAATGAGCACCGTTTAAACACAATGGCCTACCTGAGTATTGTTGCTGACCATGTCTATCCCTTTATGACTCCAGTGTACGGATCTGCTGATGGCTACTTCCAGCAGGATAATGCACCATGTCACAAAGCTCAAATCATCTCCAACTGGTTTCTTGAACATGACAATGAGTTCACTGTACTCCAATGGCCTCCACAGTTACCAGAGCTCCATCCAATAGAGCACCTTTGGAATGTGGTGGATCGGGAGATTTGCGTGAAATGCGTCTGAGTAGAATGTTTACATTTTTGAGGCATAATCTTTTTCTGGGGTTCAAAGATAGTGTATATAGGAGGATTGCAGATATATTAAAATAAATAATAAATGCATACATTTTTGCTTTCCCTTTCCAGAATCTTCCCCCCAACACAGGACCAGTGGGCTCCTTAAAACTGACGTATATCTCAAAAGTAAGTAAGCACATTGAGTGTTATTAAAGTCGTTTTTCCATTCGATAAGACTGAAAATGCCACCCACCTTAAACCTGCAATACAACGGGAGGGGCTGTTCACATGCCAAGGCTGTGATGCTTTGCGTTAAAGCCGCTGCAAACTTATTGCGGCATGTTGAGTTGGCCGGCAGCACCACCAGTCACACAACTGCCCATGCAAATCAATGCTGCCGAACTGCACTCATGGTTGCGGTGCATTAGCACTACTGAAAAATTTCATTCAGCAAAAAAAAAAAGGCATTCAGGAGACAGCTGGATCATCTACTGAATACCTGACAGTGGCTGCAAAGCCACATTCTGAAAAGCAATCTACTGCAAATCATAAAATAAAATATCCTATGAGCCACTATAAATCTATGTTCTAAGGTAAATTTGCGAGCTCCTAGCTATGTTCTCATTGAATATACAAAAAGTAACAAATTACAAAGGAAAATGGTGCCGCGCCCTTATATTAGAACCGTGAATAAATAAATAAAATCAATTTTTAACAACTAATAATTCTATAATTTATAAATAATTACCCTTAATTTCTCCAAATATAAAAATATATAAAATGTGCAACTCATTAATATACATCAATAAAAAATAAATAAATAAAAAAAAAATTAAATAAATAATCTAAAAAATAATTAATATTAATTGATAAAAATAACCAATATTAATTGATGAAAATAAATAAATTTAAAATGAATACCTCTGGCCACATATTTGAACAAGCTCTAAGACAGCAAAAAGAAAATCCTTACAACAATATTAAGGACAGGTTCACATTGGAAAGCAGGCATTGCTGAGCGGTCCATTTTTGATATCTCATTTATTTGAATGGGCAGCAAAACTCATTGGAACGTGGAAATATAGTCCAAGCACTACTTTTTCAGATCACACTGCATCAAAGCACATGGTACTACAGTAGACAGTTGCATTTGGGGTGCCATTAACTACTAATTGGTACTTGTGTGCATCTTAAAAGGCAGCATGTTCACCTACGGTGTGGGAAACGTGCATGGAACTCACCTTTCGCACACTGTGTTTTTGGTGTGAATGGGTCCTTAAGGTTCTAAATTATCAGGACTAAAAAGACTAATATAATGGTGGTAAATATGAAAGAGTCAGATTCTAAACTTAATGTTTCCAGGAAAAGTTAGAAAAAACTTTTATTTTTGAAGCCCAGGGGGTGTCATAGCACTATTATTACATGTGCCTATGACAAGTTTCCTGCTTACAAGGAGAGCAAGTGTTGGGCTTACAGTAAAGATTAGTGTTAGGTTTACAGTAAAGGTTAGAGTTAGGGTTATAGGGAGGGTTAGTGTTGGGGTTACAAGGATGGTTCATGATGGCCTTACAGGAAGAGTTAGTGTTGGGTTTACAGCAAAGATTAGTGTTGGGGTTATAGGGAGGGTTAGTGTTGGGCTTACAGTGAGGATTAGTGTTGGAGTTACTAGGAGGGTCAGTGTTAGGGTTACAGGGAGGATGTGTTAGAGTTACAGGGAGGATTAGTGTGGGGTGTACAGGGAGGGTTAGTTTGGGCTTACAGCAAAGATTAGTGTTAGGGTTATAGGGAGGGTTAGTGTTGGGCTCATAGCAAAGATTAGTGTTGGAGTTACTTGGAGGGTTAGTGTTAGGGCTACAGGGAGGGTTAGTGTTGGGGTTACAGGGGGGTCAGGTTGGGCTTACATTAAAGATTAACGTTGGGGTCACAGGGAGGGTTAGCATTGGGTTTACAGCAAACATTAGTGTTGGGTTATAAGGAGCGTTAGTATTGGGGTTATAGTCTGTATTAGTGTTGGGTGTACAGGAAGGGTTAGCGTTGGTTACAGGGAGGGTTAGTGTTGAGCTTACAGTGAAAATTAGTGTTGGGGTTACAGGGAGGGTTAGTGTTGAGGTTACAAGGAGGGTTAGTAGTGGTAGGGCTGTGAGAAGGGTTAAAGTAAGAGTTAAATGGAAGGTTATTGTGATCAGGGCCCAAAAGTGGAACATTAATCTCTGTTCTGAGAGCTCTGTGCAAAAAACTACAAGCACTGGGCTCACATTGCAGAAAGATAATACAGTGAAGGAAATAAGCATTTGACCTCCTGCTGATTTTGAATGTTGCCCACTCACAAAGAAATGATCAGTATAAAAATCGAATGGTAGGTGTATTGTAATAACACTGAGAGACAGAATAGCAACAAAAAATTCAAAAGAAATGCATGTCTAACAAATGATGCACTGATTTGCATGTTCATGAGGGAAATAAGTATTTGATCCCCTTCACAAAACATGACTTAGTACTTGGTGGCAAATCCCTCGGCAATCACAGAGGTCACACGTTTCCTGTAGTTGGCCACCAGGCTTGCACACATCTCAGGAGGGATTTTGGCCCACTCCTCTTGGCAGATCCTCTCCAACTCATTAAGGTTTGGTGGCTGACATTTGGCAACTTGAACTTTCAGCTCCCTTCACAAATTTTCAATCGGATTAAGGTCTGGAGACTGGCTAGGCCACTCCAGGACCTTAATGTGCTTCTTCTTGAGCCACTCCTTTGTTGCCTTGGCCGTGTGTTTTGGGTCATTGTCATGCTGGAACACCCATCCACAACCCATTTTCAATGCCCTGGCTGAGGGATGAAGTTTCTCACCCAAGATTTGACGGTACATTGCCCCGTCCATAGTCCCTTTGATGTGGTGCAGTTGTCCTGTCCCCTTAGAGAAAAACACCCTCAAAGCAGAATGTTTCCACCACCATGTTTGACAGTTGAGATGGTGTTCTTGGAATCATAGGCAGCATTCCTCCTCCTTCAAACACGGCGAGTTGAGTTGATGCCAAAGAATCGATTTTGGTCTCATCTGACCATGACACTTTCAACCAGTCCTCCTGTGCATCATTCAGATGTTCAGTGGCAAACTTCAGACGGGCCTGGACTAGGGGCGGACTGATAACTCATGGGGCCCCTGGGCAATAGGGGATCATGGGGCCCCTGTTTCCTTGCCCACACTCAAAGCACACCCAAAAAAAGCCTATAAAAAGGTACCAGGGGCATTTCATGAGGCCCCCTACAGACCCCGAGCCCTCGGGCAGTACCCGAGTGCTCGAATGGTCAGTCCGCCCCTGGCCTGGACATGTGCTTTCTTGAGCAGAGGGACCTTGCGAGCACTGCAGGATTTCAATCCTTGTCAGCGTAGTGTGTTACCAATTGTTTTCTTGGTGGTGACTGTGGTCCCAGCTGCATGGTGATCATTGACAAAATCCTCACGTGTAGTTCTGGGATGATTCCTTACTGTTCTCATGATCATTGACACCCCACGAGGTGAGATCTTTCATGATGCACCAGACATTGACACCCCACGAGGTGAGATCTTTCATGATGCACCAAGCTGCTTGGTGATAGTTTGGTAGCCCAGTCCAGTGTAGGTCTACAATCATGTCCCTGACATCCTTGAACAGCTCTTTGGTCTTTGCCATGGTGGAGAGTTTGGAATTTCATTGTTTGATTGACAAGATCCTCACGTGTAGTTCTGGGATGATTCCTCACTGTTTTCATGATCATTGACACCCCACAAGGTGAGATCTTTCATGATGCACCAGACCTAGGAAGACTGACACTTGTTTTGTGTTTCTTCCATTTGCAAACGATTACACCAGCTGTTGTCACCTTCTCACCAAGCTGCTTGGTGATAGTTTGGTAGCCCAGTCCAGCCTTGTGTAGGTCTACAATCTTGTCCCTGACATCCTTGGACAGCTCTTTGGTCTTTGCCATGGAGGAGAGTTTGGAATCTGATTGTTTGACTGCTCCTGTGGACAGGTGTCTTTTATACAGGTAACAAAATGAGATTAGCAGCATTCCCTTTAAGAGACTGCTTCTAATCTCAGTTTGTTACCTGTATGGAAGACACCTGGTAGCCAGAAATCCCGCTGAATGATAGGGGATCAAATACTTATTTCCGTCATGAACATGCAAATCAGTGCATAATTTGTTAGACATGCATTTCGTTTGAATTTTCTGTTGCTATTCTTTCTCTCTCAGTGTTACAATACACCTACCATTCGATTTTTAGACTGATCATTTCTTTGTGAGTGGGCAAACATTCAAAATCAGCAGGGGATCAGTTACTTATTTCCTTCAGTGTATAATGTATCTTTGGTGAAAACCACATATCAAAATGATCAGTAGATACAGGGAGGAAGATGAAGTAGTATGCCATTCTTGACTTTGTCCTATAAAGATTGAGATTGGCCTTGTTCTTTCCACATCCTGACCCTCCTTATTGGTTCTTTAATTATATATATCTATGTGAGTTGGCACAGTGGCTAAATGGTTAGCATTCCACCTGGCAGTATTAGGGTTGTTGGTTCAAATCCCAACCACAGCACCACCTGCCTGGAGTTTGTATGTTCTCCCTGTGCCTGTGTGGGTTTCCTCCTACACTCCAAAGACATGCTGGTAGGTAAATTGGCCCTAGTATGTGTATGAATGTGAGTTAGGGATCTTCAATTGTACACCCCTTGAGGGTTAGGGACTGATGTGAATGTACAATATACAGTATATGGAAAACGCTGCATACATTGATGGCACTATATAAATACCTGCAATAAATAAATAAATTTAAGTTCAGGAGTCTATGGGGAAGGTCAAGCTCAATTCTCACAGAAAAATTCCACCATTTGTTATAGATGTATTTTATGTCTTTCACATCAAGAATTATTTCTTCTGTTTGAGGCCCATGGCTATAACAAATGGCCAGATTAAGACTGGGGTAGAAGTAGTCATAAGTAATCTATGATATTAAACTACTGTAAATTTTCATCCAAACCATGCTATCTGATTATTATTGCAAGAATTAATACAGAATGGCCTACTGTATTTAGACTGGTGCTACATTTATTTCCCCTGCCACCCTGGGCAATGGCCTATTGTTAGAAAATATGGTTCTGCTGTAAAAGCCATTAACTGGATCAGAGTTTGGTACCCTCACATATGTG